TTTCCCTATGGCTCCCAGTGCCCAGACCCATCCCTACCTGCAGTCGGTACTCTGCCTGCTCCTCTCGGTCCAGGACCCTGGTCACCAGCAGGAAACCAGACTCGGCCTCCACCGCAAAGGGGCTTTCAGCTGCCACACCCAGATCAGCTGCCAGCATGATCTGCCCTCCAACTTCCATGTGAGGCAGTGGCAACTGGGGGTAGAGGATCAGAGGGAAGGCAGAAGATCCTGGGCCTGGGTTGGGAGGCCTCCTGAACCCGTTGCCCCCTGCCCCATGGTAGGTTTGGAGAGACTGAGTGTCAGGGAGATTTCATAGCCATTAAGCAGCAGGCTTGCACCTGCTACTCTGGCTGCTCCTTCTGGTTCTTTCAAAAGCCAGGAACATTGCCATCAAGAGACTTCCCGCTCACCCAGTAAAGCCTTGGGCTTAACTCCTGCCAGTCACACACACTTTGAGAGACACTCCGCACCAAGCAGGATCGGCCAGCTAGCCAGAGCCAGAAGGGGCAAAGGGTATAGGAGGCAGGGGACAAGGTGCTCACCTTGGCCAGATACAAAGGCAGATTGCCTCCGTAGTTCTCTGGGACTTCCAAATGTAGCTCAGCGGGCGGGACCTCCGGGGCAGCCTGTGCAGGGTCAGCAGGGTTTTTCTTCCTGCCTGACCTCCCTGGGCCTAGTCCCATACTTGAGCCTTTGACCCTCTGAGACCACAGCAGGGGCCACAGCCCATGCTTCCCACATTGCTCCAGTGGTCAGTGTGATTTCCTGGAAGGTAAGGTGTCGGGGGGCAAGGGGCCCTTCTTCCTGTCCCCCTCCCCTCCAAGGCCAGGACCTGAAGGAAGGAGACAGAGCCCAGCTCACCTGGGGGACAGAGAGGCAAAGCAGCCACAACCAGGCCAGGACCATGGTCGGGACAGTCCTGAAAGACAGGGCAGTCAGGTTCCAGTCCAGGGTAGAAGAGGTGGGGGTTCCGTCCTATTGGCACAGCCAGAGGGGGCCTCACTGTGGACTGGCGCCAGGTCCTAGGGCTTGCTCGCAGTCTCTACAGCCCCAGGCCCAGCCTCTCTGTGCCTCAGCCCTCCCCCCACAAGGTTTCTTACAGCCACCAGCTTGATACCCCCAGAGGCTACTTCCCAGCAGCCCCAGCTCAACCTGTAACTTCCAGTTACAGGCAAGTCCCGAAGGGCGGGCAAAGCCTGGCCAAGGTCATGGAGGACTTCAGTACAGGAGAGGTCCTCTGGCTGCAGCAGGCTTGTGGCTTGGGGTCTCTGGGGCGGTGCCACCTCCCCCTGCCACCCCTTAGACATGGAGTTACACCCCAGCAGGTGGAGAGTACTCAGAGAAGGATCCCCAGGAATTCTTCCCAGACCACAGGAATCCAGGGCTGTGTCTCTTTCTCCCTTGCCCCATCCCATCCCTGAACTCAGCCCTCCCCACCATCCCTGTCTCCACTGTCAGCCCCTCACCCACGAGTGCCAATGGCTGGCTTCTTCAGTCCAACTGCCAGGAGAGAGGGCTCCTTCTCCAGGGAGCTTGGGCCAGGCCAGGCCAGGCCAGGTGGGGTTTGCCTAGGCGGACACTTGAGCAGGTAGGCGGTCTGGCCACACTAGCTCATGGGTGGAAAAATGCCACTGGGCCCACGGCAGCAGGCCAGGCTCCACCTCCCACCCCCAGTTATTCATTGACCCTGGAAAGCTAGGCACTGCTGCCCAGCATCCGTGACTGCCAGCCCCAGGAGGCGGGCAACCACGGACCCCGACACAGCCCAGTGGGTGCTCCTTGGCCTTCAGGTTCGGCTATGACTTTGCAGCTTCAGATTCCATCCGACGTCTCTACTGTGCACTGGACCCCCCACAGTTTGACTGCTCTGTGCCTTTTACCTGGAATACCCCTCTAGCTCCCTCACCTGCTTACATCTCGAGGGATCCCTTTCTGCGGCCCGTTTCCTGCCCCTTCTCACACACACCATGTGTTCCCTCCCTCTACACACACAACATCACTCCTATCATTTCCATTAGATTAAGAACCTCTCTGGCATAGGACTTGAGGACCCAGCAGTGGCCTGGCTCTCATCCTGTCTTGGCGTTATCCCCCTGTGGGACTAGTGGGTGGGCTGGGGGTATGATCCATCTTACGCTTCCAAGAAGAGACACATGAGCCAGCTCAGGTGACCTTGAGTGAGTTGCAGGGCTGCCCAGGGGCCCTCCCCTCATTGGACCCGAGGAAGCTCTTGGGGCTGGGAGCCAGTTCAAGGGCAGCAGGTGGAATGCTCTGGTCCCTCCCCTTCCTTGGAACTTCCCAGGGTTGTCCCCGGTCCTTCACACTGTGTGTCTGAGAGGACTCCAGGTTCAGACATTCCTTTATTAGTTCTAGGCGTCCACTTCCTGGGCCTCTGTGAGCTGCCTGGAGCCTTGACCGCAGCTCATTCCATAGTAGGAGGAGCTGTAACTGTTTCTCCATCAGAGGCCCAGAGGCCAGTTCCCCCTAGCTGTCTCAGCTGCCTTGGTCACCCCGGTGGCCTGGCTGGGGCAGTGCCACGGCAGGGTTGGCAAGGAGCTCAGTACCTCTGCTGGGCTCCCAAGGTGCTCCGGGTGCTGTTTGGAGTGCGCATCTATTGAACCGCACCTACTCACACGCTGAGCAGAGAGGCTCAGGGGTTGGCCAAGAGTCACACAGCCAATGGAATATCAAGCCAGAAAGGGCTGGAGACCTTGTCCCTGCTCTGAGAGAATCATCCCTTCCACCTGCCTCCAGGTGTGCTGGGGTGGAGGCAGCTGCAACCACCCTGAGGGGAGGTGGGTGGGTGAGATTCAGAGCTGCCCCTGATACACACACACACACACACACACACGGAGGGATAGCCCTTATTTCTCCTCTTAGCTGATACATAATCTATAATTAGTTGTGAGGATTTTCAGGGGATTGCAGGATGAACAAACTAGATTCATGAAGATATGTCTTCATCTTAGTCTGTCCCATGCTGCCTCTGGTCTTGGAGATGGGCAGACCTCACTCAGGTACTTCCCGCCCATTATTGAATGGGATTCCTCACCTCCCAAAACCACTTACAGGAGCCTCTCCCCCATTATCCTTGGGGGATTTGTTCCGAGACCCTTTGTGGGTGGTTACCAGACCATGGAGAGAACTGACCCCTACAAATACTGCATGTTTTCCCAGTCACATGGATCTCAGCACATTTTCGCTTAAAGGAAACCCTTTAGTGTTCCTCTTTGGCACATATAAGCTGCCAGCATGACCCGCTGGAGCTGTGGGGTCACCATGCAGGAAGATAAGGGTGGCAGGAACACAGGCACTATTTGATCAAGCCAGGATATGGTGAGAATTACCAGGAGGGTAGCAGATACAGTGTGGACCCACTGTATACAGGGATGAGTCATGTTTTGGGAGGGACATAAACCTCATCACATGACTCAGAATAGCTCTCCACTTACTACAACTTCTGAGTGATTTCTGGAATTTTCCAGGTAATATTTTTGGATTATGGTCAGCCACGGGTAACTGAATGCATGGAAAATGAAATCACAGATCAGGGAGAATTACTGCGGATCAGCTCCCATACAGGCACCTGGTGCTGGGGAGATGGGCCCTCCTGCCATGTGCACACAGGCACGCCCTTGCACAGATCTGCCTCAGCTGTGGGATGGAATGGCTGAGGTCAGGATGCCCTGGCTTTGCACTCCCAGTGATGAGAAAGGAAGAAGGCTGCCCTGTATGGACGTCTCCAACGTCCTGCCCATTCTTTAGCATCTAGGGTAGATGCACCAGCCCTGTAGCCACAGCTAGGGCGCCTAGCTGGTTAGAAGACCCAGGGCGAGAGCAACCTCAGTTTCCCTGCTATGGATGTGCTGAATTCTAAAAATATTATTGTTGTATTTTAATTTGAAAGGCAGATTTACAGAGAGCAGACAGAAGGCTCTTCCATCTGCCGGTTCACTCCTTAAGTGGCCACAATGGCCAGAGCTGAGCTGATCTGAAGCCAGGAGCTTCTTCAGGGTCTCCATGTGGGTGCACAGGCCTAAGGATTGGAGCTATTATCCATCGCTTTATCAGGCACCTTATCAGGGAGTTGGACTGGAAGTAGAGAAGCCGGGACATAAATCAGCACCTATGTGTAATGCCAGCGCCAAGCGCAGAGGATTAGCCTTGTTATGGGGGAGCCAGGAGTGGAATGGGGTCTTCAGCCACCCACCCTCAGCTGACTGGTATGTGTTGAATTTTAAATACCCCTTGTAGTTCCTTTGGCAGGGCTAGATTCCCAAGTGACTGCACTAGCTTTCCGTGGTCCACAGGTCAGAAGTTTTAAATACCCCTTGTAGTTCCTTTGAACCCTCAATCAACTGGGATACATCAGACCTAAGTAAGGGAGGACCCGGTTGACAGGGACAGGGAGGGGCTGTGTGTCTTCCTGCTTCTTGGATCCCATGTTGACCCATGCCCTACCCCATCCCAACCCAGGTCCAGCTGACTGTATCTGGATCCAAATATGAGGGTATTCAAGGCCACACACGAGTATAGGGGCAACGAGCCTCTTCATCTCCCCATTTCCTGTTCCTGAAGGCCCTGGTCAGAAGGAAACACAGAATCAACAGCCCTGACATATCAGGAAATAATCTTTATTATATATATATACACATATATATAAAAACACAACCTCTGCATGTAAACAAATAGCCAGTACACCCAACTGCCTCCCGCCATGGGTGGGAGGAAGGCACCCACACGTGTGGCTGCCCAGGATGCACGTGGGCCCGCACGTGCCTGTCGGTGGGCCCAGCCCTCACTGCCACTGGGAACTGCCTCCCAGGGCAGCACTGTGTGTCTGTCCATGCCATGAGGCAGGTGGTATTCTGTTGGCAGGTCTAGGGCGGGGTGTGGGGGTCTAGAATCTCAGCCAGTCCTGAGGCATTTAGGGTGGCAGGCTGGGCCAGCCCACCCAAACTGTCCATCCATCTGCCCACTGCAGTGAGAGCCCAGGGCACCTAGAGAACTGAGAGGTCGTGGCAGGACTTGGACTTGGCACGGAAGGCCATCTTGCGGCTGTTGCGTGCCACGATGCGGCCCAGGAAGCGCTTAGCCTTCTTGCCGAGGCTCTCCCGCCGCCGAGTGCCCGCCTGCCGCCGGGCATTGGCCTCCTTGCTGTCCCTGCGCAGCCGGATCTGACGTACGATGCCCTCAAATAGTGCCTGGACATTGTGATGCAGCGCTGCTGATGTCTCGATGAACTTGCAGTCGAAGACCACAGCGCAGGCTCTGCCCTCTGGTGTGGGACGGGGCAGCACATGCCAGTTAGCAGAGGGTGGATAGCTGAGAAGCCTGTTCCACCCCTGGCTCACCCCACAGCTCCTCCTTGGGAGTGTAAGTCCCCAGAGACAGAGAACACACAGACCCAGGCTGAGGATCACCCCACAAACAGAGCATGCCCGGATTTTAGGAGTTCCCAAAAGGAGGTGAATTTGCTGAAATAACCCCAAGGGTAATATTTAAAGGGAAAGACAGCAGCTGTCCACACAGAAAATGACCACAAGGTCAGATCATTGAGCGTGATGGACTGGGGGCTGGGGTAACATTGCCCAAGCTGCCAATGAGGAGGAAGCCAGGCCCTGCTGGACTCCTCTAAGGGTCTTGTCCTGGGGACTACAGAGCCCAAGAGGGAAGGGTCCTTCCCAGGGCCACGCCCACTCCAGGAATGGGTCTGGAGTCCAAACTCCAAACTGTATTCCCTTCTGAACATTCACAGCCCATCCGCCGAGGTCAGGGCCAAGTTTAACTCTTGCCCTAGTCCTGTCAGGCTTTGGGCAGCCCTGTAGACAGGCAGCAGCCTCTGACGCTCCCCAGCGACCCAGGTGGAGCCTAGATGGCCTGGACCACCGCTCGTGACTGGACTTGCCTCCCGCTCGGGCCCACTGTCGACTCACCATCCACGGAGACCTCCCGTGAGCGCACCAGATCGCTCTTGTTGCCCACAAGGATGATGGGCACATCATCTGTCTGCCGTGCCCGCCTCAGCTGGACCCGCAGCTCCGAAGCCTTCTCAAAGCTGCCCTTGTCAGTCACTGAGTACACGATGACGTAGGCATCTCCCATGGTCATGCAGTGGCCAGGCAGCCAGTGGCCCCCATCCTGGATAACATACACACATGTTCACACATGGCTCCCAAAGGCCTTCACACTTTTGGGTGTGAAGAACCTGGTCCTCCACCGAGCCCCTGTGCCATCCTCCTGCCCTGGCCCCGCATCTCAGCCTGTGTCCTACCTGCTCCCAAATGTCATAGACAATGAGCGATGCCTCTTCTCCGTCTACGGTGATGGAGCGATCGTAGGTGTGCCCTGAGACAGAAGTTACAGCCAAGTTACCACCTGACTCTCAAAAGCTCCCAGCTGGGGGTGAGGCTGGTTGGGTGGGTCCTGCTAAGAGCCCCTCAATCCTTCTCTCCCACCTGAAAGTGGCTACTATAGTGACTGCAAAAGTGACAGGGTTGGGAGCTGAGGATGGAGAGGGCATGGCATACCAGAGCTCCCCCTGACCTGTCCCCAAGCTGGCAATGTCCTGGCGGGGAGGTCACTCCAGCACAGCCTGCGCTGCTGCCTCCACTTCCACTCTCCCCACCCCTTCTCTATTGGCTCGGACCACAGAAGACTGAGTTGGAATGGCAACTATCACCCCTCTCCCCGGGGGCGGAGGCTACCAAGGACCTCCTAGAAACTCCCTCTGGTTTTCTGCCTGGCCAGGAGGGCTGTCCTATCCCTGGCCACAGAGCTGTGTCACCCTTCCTCTGGAATTTCTCCCCCTGCCTTCTTGAAAGGGATTGGGCAGGGTACAGAGGCACGATTCCGAAGGCGGTCTTGACTATGTCCATGCTCCCAAGCTCCCTTCTCCTTGACCCTGCGATTCCCCTCACCTGGTATTCCCATCCCCTCACCTGCGGCCTCTACATCAGGCCCGTCTTCCACACCGCCGAAGATGCGCGCCAGAGCGCTCTTGCCCACACCGGGCGCCCCCAGCAGCAGCACCTTGTACACACTGTCGTCGGAGCCGCTGCCCCCCGAGCTGAGAGAGTCCGAAGAGCCCTCGGGCCAGTCCAGCCTCGGACCCTGGGTGGGGGTGCTGGCCGCAGTGGCCGCCAGGGCGCCGGGCGCCAGCGCCGCCTGCAGGTCCCGCTCGTCCACCGGCATGCTCCGGCGGTGCAGCGGCGGCGCGGGGCCCCAGGGCGTGCTGCCCCGACGGCGCTCGCGCTCCCGGCCGCCGCCGCGGCTACCGCCCGCTCCGCTGCTGCCGCCGTTCAGAGTCATCGCGTCTGACGCCGTCTGGGGGATCGAGACCCGGGGTCGCAGTATTAGCCGTTGGGGGAAGACGCATCCGGGGCACCCCTGCCACGTATGAGCCTTGGGGTGAGGGCGAGAATCCGCCACAGCACCTTAGGAGCCACGAGGGTCCTGGCGCCCTAACCTGTATGTAAACCACCCGCAATTCCGCCAGGACACTCACCCGCTCGTTCACACTAACCAGACCGGGATCCAGGCTCGGATGCAACCCAGCTCTCAGACCTGAGCTCGGACACTCAGCCTAACAGTTCCTGCAACCGCCTTCTTCTTGGCTCGTACTGGCTCTGGGCACCGGAGACGCCTATTTAAGCCTCCACCCCCCCCTCCTCCGCTCCCGGCCCACGCAGCTGCGGGGGCTGACGTGTCCACTCCCACCCCCGGGGAATCCCCACCCTCCTCCTCTGGGGACCTCACACGCTCAGAACGCCCCCTCCGCCCGCCCCCGCCCTCCAGGGGCGGGGCAGGGAGCTGTCTGGGGCCTCCAGTGTCCTCTGTGATTGTTTGGGTGTTTGAGAGTGGGGAAAGGGGTAGATGGAGGAGGGGCAAGGAGGAGGAGTATAGGGGAGTGGGCGATGGGAGGGGTGCGCGGCGGGGTAACCTGGACCAGCCAAGTGGGGCAGTTTCTCACTGGGGAAGGATAAGGTCTGGCACATTAAGAGTGAATTTTCCTTCCCTTCCCCCTCACTCTGGCCTGTGGTCCCAGCCAGTTGAAAGTTGAAGGCTTCACGGAGATTCTCCCCTTGTCTGTCCGCATACTCACCCCCCACAGACCCAGAGCTGAGCTAGCTGTGCCACCAAGTCCCAGCCACTCTGCTTCCTGTCCTGGGGAGATGAAGATCCTCCCTAATGAGGCTGCCTTTCAGGATGAGTTCAGGGTCACCCCGGGAGCTGCTGGCTGTGAGCAGAGTAAGGTATGGTGTGGCCATATTGTGCAGGTGCATGCTAAAATCCTGGGCAGGAGACCTTGGCCCCTCCGGGAACTCAGCTTCTACCCTTCCTCCCAGCAGCCACCCAATAGCTGCCAGCAACTCTGCTAAAAATATCTGCCCCTGGCTGTGACCCTGCTCCTGATCATCCTGCTCCTGGGCTGGAGGCTGCCCAGCATTGGGGAAATCCGGGTACATGGGTGTGGGATGCCAGCTGGAGCCTGCCACTTCAGTCTTTAAGGTCTCCATCTCACCAGCCCCTGGGGGTGGGGATGGAGAGCCTGCTGTCCAGGGCATAGTCAGGACCTGGACATTCCAGTTCCTACCCAGCAGGATGTAAATAGGGTCAAGGAGTGGGATGCCACCACTGCCCAGAATCCCTCTCCCATGAGGCCTAGGATGGGTACCAGGGCATGGAGGGCAGAGGTGATGAGGACGGCTTTGGTTTCCAGCCCAGCTGAATCCTTTCTCTCCCAGCCTCAGCATGCTCAGCTATTCACTGGGCATCAGGATCTGCTCATTGCAGCAGGGTGCTCATCTCTGGGGTAAGGACTGGGACAGACAAGCTGTGAATCGACAGGAAGCTATCAGATTCTGATGTTGGTGATGAGTATGCTGAGAGTGGGAAGGCACCCTATAGGGAAGATAGACCCTGGTGAGCTGTCACAGGTTGTCATGGAGACCTGGTCAATGTCTGGCTGTTACGTCAGTTTCCTTAGCAACACCTAAGATGGCCTTGGAGCGAGGATGGTCTGGTTAGGTAAGGTCACAGGGCTCATGCAGGGCTGTCTTATTCATGTGGTCCCCAAGATAGTTCATGGGTGGGCTGAGATGGGGCCTGCCCAATTGTGTTCTCCCTGGGGCTGGGGGACCTGGAAGCCTGGGGGAGCAACCCCCCCTTCCCCCCGCTGCTTCTGGCTTCCTGGATGAAGTCCCGTGGGAAGGAAGAATCACAGCTCAGCCACCTGTCAGATGTCAGAAATCTGAAGCGCCAGCACGCACCACTTCCCATCAGGCATCCAGGCTGCCCCCTCCCCCACCAACACCCGCAGCTGTGCTGCTGGAAAGGGCTCTGGGGTGTCCAACAGAGGATAGTGGAATGGGTTGCTGTGGCCTTCCCAACAAGGGGACGGGGTGGGGATTCCCCTCAAGTAACCTGAGCCCTAGCAGTGTTTCTTCATCGCCAAGGGAACTGTGTCCACAAAGGCCCAATCAGGCCCTGGGCACTTGGATGCTGGCCCCAAGAGGCCAGAGATGCTTCCTATGATCCTATGTGTGACCAGGGACCTCAGGATCAACACCAGGACATGACCTTGAGATACCCCCACTCTCTCCCCCTAGGTCTTTCCATCTGTCTGAACTGGACTTGGATGCTCTTGAAGAATTGTCTGGTCTTACTAGTAGGAGGATGGTGTGAGCGCTAAACCACAGCCCTGCCCCCTGTACCACTGTCCATCCATCCTGACCGAGGTCAGTTACCTCTCGGGTCAAAGCCTTGTTACAGGACATCCGTAATGAGAGATACAAGAGAAAAGTACATCTCAATGAGAGTATTTGCATTACCACCAATGGGGCAGGTGCAGGCCATGGGAACAAGACAATTGCTTCTCCATCCCCACCTGTGAGCTTCCACATGCTCTCCCTCGCTGTGGACATAGGAACTATCCCTCATCTTACCACAGCGCCTATACCTGGCCCTTTGCCGTAAGGATCAATTCATTCATTAATCCTAAACACCTACTGTATTACACCAGCCCTGGGCTGGGGTGCTAGAACAGGATGATGTATGAAAACAGACCGAGTTGAACGTGTCCCTACAGGTCATCTAATCCTGAGTTTGATCTCATTTAGCTGTGATGTGCTATTCCCACTTTATAGACACGGCAGCGAAGGCAAAGGGTTCACAGGCCAGAAACAGCTATCAGACACACCGGCATAGGGTTACAAGGAGTTTAAACTCCTCCATTCGACTGTTCCCCTCAGACAGCAACTGAGGTTCCAGAAAGTTCCCTGGGTGCTGGCCCAGTATGCACAGATGGTGTCCCTACAGGCAGCCAAGGGGCCAGGCACAGATGAGTCAAGCAGACTATGTGATATACCAGCTGTGGCATGAGCAGATTGGTGGCCCCCACTCCCCGCAGCCTGGCTGCCAGGAGGGCCATCGGGATGACTCAGCAACACCTGCCTCCCCCTGACCCGTCTCTCCCCCAGGCTCCCTGAGCTGCACAGACACCATGGCAACCTCCTAGAGGCAGGGGCTGTGAGGGCAGAGGTGCGTGTGTGATGAAGCCTAGGGAATGCTCCCTGGGCCTGGTTGCCCAGGCTGCCTCCTCACCTATGGAAATGGGGAAACTCTGGGAGCATCCCCGCCTCCAGGTCAGCCCAGACCTCTTTTAATCCCTTACAGGGCATTGCAAGGGATTGCCATGTCTGTGCCCCCATCACACAAGCAGAAACTCTGAGCAACAGAGGCCTCTCTGATCTTGGGGAGTCAGATCCAGAAGATTCTCTTGGCCTTTAGGTGTGCAAGCCACTGGTTCCTAAGAGCCAGCTGGGATGACAGAGCTGGATGTGAGCACAGCCCGTCTAAAGAGGCAACAGCGCCCCCTGCCAGCCGAGCTAAAGCGGCAAAGCTGCTTCCATGCTTTTCAAATGGAAGTCTTGAGAAGTAAGGAATGTATTCTAGAAACATCCCTCATCTGCAAATTGGGGATTAAAAAAAAAGACCAGTAACCTGTGGACAGATGTTTGGTGCATTGGTTGGGGCATCCACATCCTGTATTAGAGCACCCAGTATTGAGTTCAAGCTTCCTGAAAATGCTCACCGTGGGAGGCAGCAGGTGGTAGCGGAAGTCCTTGCGACACACATGGGAGACCAGCACTGACTCTCAGGCTCTTGGCTGCAGCCCAGCCCAGCCCTGGCTGTTGTTGGCATTTGGGGAGTGAAATGGTGGACAGAGGATCTCTCTCTCTCTGCCTTTAAAGTTTTTGTTTGTTTTTTTCTTAAGGAGAAAGACCATCACCCAGCACACAGAGCTGGGCGGAGAAGTGACTGACAGATGGTAAATACAAAGGCCGTGGCCAATTCCTGCTCTGAGGACTCACAATCTGTGTCACCAGCAAGATCGCAAGAACAAATATGCCAAGTGCACAGGCTTGTTGCTGAGGCTTCTTGAGGTCACTGTCCACACTCAGTAAGGGGATGGAGGCAAGGTTTTGTTTTTGTTTTTATTTGAAAGCCAGAGTTAGAGAAGAAAAAACAGGGAGGTCTTCCATCTGCTGGTTCACTCACCAAATGGCCCCAATGGCCGGAGCTGGGCCGATCCAAAGCCAGGAGCCAGGAGCTTCTTCTGTGTCTCCCACATGGATGCAGGGGCCCAAGGACTTGGGCCATCTTCTGCTGCTTTCCCAGGCCATAAGCAGGGAGCTGCATTAGAAGTGGAACAGCTAGGACCTGAACCCATATGGAATGCCGGCATCAGATGCATTTATACGTTCACATCACACATAGGATCAGTGCAATATGGCATTGTCAGCAATTTTAGTGAATAACTGAATTTATGGTGGTGGTCAGGTATGCAATTTCTTCCTTGTCCACCCCGCCCCCAGACATATTTATTATTTGAAAGGTACAGGGGAGAGAGAGGCAGAGAGAGCAAGAAAAAGAAATCTTCCATTGTCGATTCATTCCCCAAATGACCACCAATGGCTAGGGCTGGGCCAGGCTGCAGCCAGGAGCAAGGAGTTCCATCCAGGTCTCCCACATGGGTGGCAGGAGCCAAGTACTCAGAACATCTTCCTTTGCTTTCCCAGTTGAATAGGAACTGGAGCAGCTGAGGCTCGACTGGTGGATCATGGGATTTCAAGGCCATCAGCAGCATTTTCACCCTTTCTCCCTTCTCTTACACTTTCAACCTCTAATCAAAATGCTGGGAGAGATTTTACAAATAAAAAATTATATTTTGACAATTTGCATGAACACTCGTTGTCATGACTCCTTCCCAAAAAACCGCAAATGATCCTACCAAAATGAAAGATGTC